GTTGGGTCCGGTGGCAAACCGGGCGAGCACACATCAGCCAGGATAACATGATCAGCAGTGCACTCCGAGCAGACAATATCTCTGCGAAATGCCCGAAAGTTCCCCTGCTAGGTTGCGAGTGCTACATCATGGAGTAGTACTGCCAGTAAATTCAATGTGAGGTGCTGTACTTCCGTGATTGGGCTGGACGTCCGTTCAGTTCCTGCAAGAGAAGGAATCCTGTATCGGATGCACACGTCCGCCCCTCACACACTTACTGCACACTCATGCACCCTTACGCACATTCACTGTACCCGCACGTACTGTACACACACACACACATCCTGTACACCCACGTACTGCCCGTGCACGTACACTCCTCCGCGTGCCCCGACAAAAAACGGGGTGAAAAGCCGGTACCGAGACATAAAAAACCCACATACCTCTATGTAACTCTCACTCTCTCTCTCTCTCTCTCTCTCTCTCTCTCTCTCTCTCTCTCTCTCTCTCTCGGTTTCAACATGTCTGTAATCATTCATAACCACATGATCGTTCATCAAGTCATACACCATCATGTGTCATCACTGACCATCGGGCTTCTCTCTCATCATGGCATCTAGCCATACACAACCATGTGTCATCACTGCCCATCGGGCTGCTCCCTCATCATGGCATCAAGCCATACACAACCATGTGTCATCACTGCCCATCGGGCTTCTCCCTCATCATGGCATCAAGCCATACACAGCCATGTGCCATCACTGCCCATCGGGCTTCTCCCTCATCATGGCATCAAGCCATACACAACCATGTGTCATCACTGCCCATCGGGCTTCTCCCTCATCATGATGGCACCGAGCCATACTCATCACTGCCCATCGGGCTTCTCCCTCCCCCTCATCATGGCATCTAGCCATACACAACCATGTGCCATCACGGCCCATCGGGCTTCTCCCTCATTATGGCATCAAGCCATACACAATCTTGTGTCCTCACTGCCCATTGGGCTTCTCCGTGAGTATGGCATCAAGCCCTACGCAATCATGTGTCATCACTGCCCATCGGGCTTCTTACTCACTCCATCATCACTCACATACACACTAAATAATGGCAAGCCGGGTTACCCATTTATACACCACACAAGGCCGTTCCCAATCGCTTGCATCATGTCCAGTCGTGGGTGATCCGGTGTCTGTTCCACGGCCTAGGTACTGGCTTGGTACTGAAAGGACAGCAAGAGGAAAACATATAAATACTTCATTAAGATTCAACACCGACAACATAAGGACGGCATGCACAAGCGAGTTCAAGATACGTAAAGCTTTAGCCAGTTGACTTGGCCTGGCAGCTGACTGGGGTGTCTCGCACACCTTACACAATCAAAGTGGTGGCTTAACTTTTATGAATTGGTTTGGCGTTACAACAGTGGAGTTGTGCAGTGTGCCATCATGTTACCTCACCTCGCGAGGATTACGCGCTACCTGCCGCTTTAGTTATCGCTCCGTCTGGAACGTACCCTGATATTGAGCATGTTCGGGAACCCTAGTCTTACTCTCTGGACGAAGGAAACCTGGACAGTATTGCTTCCCACCCCTGGTCAACATCGCATGTCCCCCTGCGGTTGCTGTCCCATTATCTGTTGTGTTGTTGTCGCTTGCTGCAATAGCCCATGACTATTGTCGTACTTGTTTGCACTCATACAATCCCAGGCTGTACTTTGGAACTGTTTCCATTGCCCATGTACTCCTTATTCTTTGCTTGCTTTTATGCTGAGAGAACATATGCTGGCTCCCTGTACTGCTTAGCCGTGTACTCATTCGGTAGAAATGTGTGAATAATACTACTAATATCTGACGTGAGTGAGGTGGATGGGCACCTCGGGAACACAAGTTTGAAGTCAGCAAGCAGTCAACTTTTGCGTGAATTTCTTCCGGAACCATGTCTTGTGGGCCCCACCCGTGAAAAAACAAACAAACATTTGTCTCGTCCTGCCGGCCAATTGTCCCCCCTTGTGTGTCCGATGGCTGCGGACGTCGAAATCTGTTACACCCCGATTACACCTGGCCGGAAATCTACTAGCATTTTGCACGATGTTTGACTTGGACAACATTTACTTCCCTGCCATTGTTGCCCGATTTTTGTACTCAGACTGACAAACTAACTACTCTTGTTGTTCATGGTTGCCTCTACAAACACGATACAGTCATGTACATCGCTCTGCACATCCATAACATTCTGATGGTCCCGTGACATTGATCATGCACCCTGTGTAGGGCCTAGAGCGGTACGAACTGGGCGTTTGTTTGCTCCCTTGAATACGACGGCATGTACACCCCTTTCGATCGTGTCAACTACATGATTATGTACTTCTTAACTTATCGAAAAAACATCCACAGTCTCAAGTACTGATACTTATCTTTTCTCTCCGGTCCATGTGCGGTCCGAAAACTGGCTGGCTGTCCCAATGAACTCCGGTTGGTGTTGTCAACAGACAGCTACGACCTTGCTGCCCTTCGCCACGATATCAGACAACTACTTCAGTATGACTGCGGTGTCACCTCTGCCAGGAGCTTCGCCACCATTTGGGACACGATGTTGTGATCGACAGCACTCATCACCGACTCCGTAGACTCTCGATCTCATCACTGCGCCCACGGAAAACTCTCAAGGACTCGCTGAAGCTTTGAAGAGTATGGTTGCGGTACAGGTAGGTGTCGACTCGACATGTCGGAACTGAGTGACCAATTGTTTTGTCAACTAAATTTTTCTTCCACAATCTTTGCTGGTCGTCCGAAACGCCCTGATTTGTGTAGCTGTCAACGGTGACTCTGCTCCGCCTGGTACCAAACTTGCTTGTGTGTGGCGGATTACGCTCAGCTCGTTTTAGCTGTTTCCGCCTTTCGCAGATCGATCTGCAGCTCCCAAAAACGTCAGGTTACTGGTACATCAGTTTGCAGGCCCAACCAGGCGATGTGGACCTTTTGTAGGCTGGACCGATTCATTATAGACGGTGCACGGCACTGTCGTTTCTTTCTCCCGGACTATTACACTGTAGATCTACTCTGAAAAAATAATAAGATGAGTTGTGGTGTTGTGTGGCTGCGAGTGGAAACTAAAAACTGGAGCACTTGAAAACTTCAACTACCACGAGGAAAAACAAAGACCACGATGGCAGGTTCAATGGAGTTGCGCAGAACAAGAGCAAATGCACGAAAATATTTGTGAGTGAAAAATACGTTTTTTGCACTCTTTCGCTACGCTCAGCCGTGAAAAAACAAAACTTGTGGCCAGCTCGACGTATTCCGCACGCCGTATTGTCCTAATCGTCTCCCGTGCGCCAACACATGCGCCGGCCGGCATCATAGCGCCTCCAAGGAACTCAACTAAACTGGTCATACACGACAGTGTCCATGCCTGCATTTTCGGCCGGCATGCTCATCGCCCGAGGCTTGTTGGTCAGGGCCGACGCTGCCGTCGCCGCGGTCTCAAACGAGGAATACCAGCGATCCGCTGCTGAGTAGGATCCATGCTCAGGTACGGGTATAAACCATGTAAACCAACTAGCTTTAGAGCAAACGAGAGCAAAAAAATTCTGGCCTTCTGCAAGCAATAGCAAGTAATGAGTGACGGCTGTGTAAAGTCGCACAACCATGCAGTCGACCGGATGATGGTGAGTGTCCGGCACACATCTTGCTCTGCTGCTCCACCTGCGCATACCTGATACGGTGGTGCGCTTACGGGCGGGCTGCCTGGGCCCCAGATGCCTCCTTGATGCGCCACGGAGTGCCGTTGAAGCACCTGTATCACTTCGGTGATCCAAATGCGAATGCAGCCTTGCCGGTCGCCCGCCGGCCTGCCGCCTACGCGACCAGCCTGAGACTGGCCCTGCCGCATTTGGCGCTTCTAAACGCTGCGATCCGGTAGACAGCTCACTGGGCTGCCAAATACGTGACTGGCTTGAGGACAGTTCCATACTGGGCAGGGCGCCCAGCTCAGGTCGCACGCCGTGGCGGCGTGAGCTGGGCGCGGTGAGGGTTGGTGATAACTACAGTTTCCTCCTTCCTCCTCCGGAAACTTCCATTTTTCGGTGGTACGGTGTCTATTTTCGGTAACTTCGGTGCTGACAATTTTTACCGAAAATATAACGCACCGAAAATTTTGGTACTACCTGTACTGTATACATGCAGAATTATTTGGTGCACATTTTATCGCTACATGGTTTATAATTTCCCTTCTTCTTGATTTTGTATTTAGCGCTTTCGGGTGTTATTATTTATTTTTCTTATTTTCGCACTAAATTATTATTTTTTTGGCTACCGTTCTGCTTTCGTTTCGCGTGGATATTAAAAAAAATACATGCAGAACTAGTACACTTACCTGGAAAACGGGTTTTACCGAAAATTTCCCTCCACCGAACCGCCGATTTTGGAGAATACCGAAAATATTACACCACCGAAAAATTCTGCTTTTACAGTATGTAGACTACGTGCAGATATCGAGGTCTTTGTGGTCCACTTTCACAACAATAACACAAACATGCACAGAAGTCTCTGCTAGCTGCTGTGAGCACGGTGGCTCGGCAACGGCTTTATTTATTGATATTATTATAATACTATCTCTTTCCTGATTTTTGTTCTTCTTTTTTTTCCTTGCATAATTGTATGCATAGAGCCTGGTAAGAACAAAATATGCACAAGACACTGCTGCTACTGTAGTCGCACAGCAAAACACACAGAAAACGACAACATGTTACAATGAATGTAACAACACCCGTCCATGCTAAAGGACCTATATCCCTGCCCAAGGACGGCATCTCTAAATCCCCACACTCTCACCACACGGTCATAATCCAGCTTCAGTTCAATCACTGTATTCTTCCCCTGCAGACTCAACCCCCCATACTAGCCATACAATCTGAAGCTGTATGTAACCACGGCATACAATGGCCCACGACGCACACCTCCCCTACGTTTTTTTAACTAAAAAAGAAAAGCAGTCGTAACTGCCACAGCCACATGGCCAATATTGGCAATAAGAAAACCAATAAGATATCGATAAACACACACCCAGAAGTCAGGGATGGGAGGGTGGGATACTAACTGCACCAACAATAAGCCACTGCGAAGTGACAGGAATGTGGTCCAGCACAACATTTTTGCTGAAGCAAAAAGTTGCGGGGAAATCCCAAAATCGATGCGATTTTGCATGAGCCCCAATGTTCAAGTTACCCACAAAGACACAAGCGTTCCAACTCTTTTTGGCCGTTGAAAAGCGTACCTTCTCTGCATTTGGCACGTGCTCGGCAACAAGATTCAAGATTTCAAACTGCATCACGTTTTTTTGTCTTTTGAGATGGATTGCAGGGTAAATTTAGAAAGACGTTGAAAATCAATATCATTACTGAGATATTCCTAAGACTGAGGGTATGACAAATAATTAGTTTGATAAAACGAGTGACTTGGACAATCCCTGAACTCCGGCATCATGGTGCTGTGACTGCTGTCCATGTAGATATACTAGAATGTGCCATGGCCAAAGTGTGCCGCTCCAACATGGACAGTGACCACCGTGATTTCCTGCAATAGGCACACAAAGGGTAGTGCACAACAGAATTGACACACATTGTCATAAACGACCTGCCCAGGGCTGCTGAACCCGGCGATAACGTATCTCAAAGTTTGGGGCTTTTTGCCCGTACATTCTGTCTTGGAACTCAAGCCAGTTACAGCACGGTCAAATTTCCTGAGGCACTGCCTACGAGTGCAAGCGGCCTACTAGCAAACCAAAAATCTAAGCAATTCCAGCGCCCACATTGCAGCTGGGCCCATTTACCCACAGGTACATTGAAAAGAACAGGTGCGCACAAATGGTCAAAAATTCACCATTTCTCACCTATCCGACTATTCACAGCTGCAACATGGACAGTGACCACCGTGAATTCCTGCAATATTCACACAAAGGGTAGTGCACAACAGAAATGACACACATTGCCAGAAACGACCTGCCCAGGGCTGCTGAAAGCTGAAAATGACCTATCTCTAAGTTTGGGGCTTTTTGCCCGTGCATCCGGACTTGGAACTCAAGGCAGTTACAGCAGGGTCAAATTTCCTGGGGCACTGCCTACGAGTGCAAGCGGCCTACTAGCAAACAGTAAATATAAGCTAATCCAGCACCCACGTTGAAGCTGGGCCCATTTACCCATAGGTACATCATCAGGAAAAAGAACACAAGCGCAGAAATGGTCCAAAATTCACTATTTCTCACCTTTCCCACTATTCACACCTGCAACTTCGACAGTGACTATCGTGAATTCCTAAAACAGACACACAAAGGGTAGTGCACAACAGACATGACACACATTGTCATAAACGACCTGCCCAGGGCTGCTAAACCCTAAAAATTACCTATCTCCCAGTTTGGGGCTTTTTTCCCGTGCATCCGCACTTGGAACTCAAGCCAGCACGGTTACAGCAGGGTCAAATTTCCTGGGGCACTGCCTACGAGTGCAAGCGGTCTACTAGCAAACCAAAAATCTAAGCAATTCCAGCACCCACATTGCAGCTGGGCCCATTTACACACACACTTACATTGAAACGAACAGGTGCGCACAAATGGTCAAAATTTACCTATTTCTCACCTTTCCGACTATTCACAGCTGCAACATGTACATTGACCACCGTTAATTCCTGCAATAGGCACACAACGGGAAGTGCACAACAGAAATGCCAGACATTGTCATAAACGACCTGCCCAGGGTAGGCCTTGGCGGATAATGCCAGCAGAAAAATTGGCAGAATTCGGTACTTTTTCTGGTAAGTTTCATGCATGTTTGGTATGTGGATAAAGAAATGGAGCAGAATTCGAGGAATTGCCCGCCATAAGGTTTGTATGGTTCTGCCAATTTCGGTGCAAAAAACGCAGAATCTGCCACCTTTTCGAGCATTATCCGCCAAGGCCTAGCCCAGGGCTGCTGAAGCCTTAAATTAGCCCGTGCTTCACACAGCCGGATATGTACATGCGCGTGCATGCGGACCCACACTCATGAACAAGCACACACAGAATAGTCTGTATGAGTTAAATTGGATAGGTGGAGTTCTGGATTCGAACAACTGGTGCAATGTCACGTAACTCGGCAAATGAGTCGCAACGCGAAAAGACTCTGCTGAGTCACGAACAGGCAATGACTCTGCAACTGAGTCGCAAGCAAGCAAACAGGGCAAACCAGTTGTGAGCGAACATCCGCACTCCCCAATGTTTTATTTTACTTGTATGTTTTTTAGAATTGAATATGGCAAGTTACAGCGGATGCAAGTGCAGACCACATAGGCTGCAGAGAATATAGCAACATGTGAACGTAGAGCAACAGCTATAGGGTGGGTGTTGGTGGGGGAGAAAAAGCTAGGAGCAAACCTGTGAAAGCCAGGCAACAGCAGCAAACTCTACTTTCACAAAGGCAACACTCAAAGCAAGGCACGTGGGAAAAGTTTGGAGCAGAAGAAATACGAGGTGTGAGCTGCAACCTCTCGTGGCGCGGTTTCGGAGCTGCGCTGTAGATTAGCGCCGTGAATCTGTGTGATTGAATAGTGTAATCAAGCTGCGAGCTGGCAGGTGTTCATGCGGCGCTAACATACTCTAGCCACGGGCTAGTGCGCCAATAACCGATCTCCAAGTTCGGGGCTTTTAGCCAGTGCATCCGGACTTGGAACTCAAGCCTGTTACCGCAGGGTCTAGTTTCCTGGGGCACTATCTGCGAGTGCAAGCGGACTACTAACAAAACAAAAATCTAAGCAATTCCAGCACCCACATTGCAGCTGGGCCCATTTACACGCACTTACATTGAAACGAACAGGTGCGCACAAATGGTCAAAATTTCCCTATTTCTCACCCTTCCCACTATTCATACCTGCAACATGGACAGTGACTATCGTGAGTTCTTACAACAGACACACAAAGGGTAGTGCACAACAAGAATGACACACGACCTGCCCAGGGCTGCTTAACCCTAAAAAAATACCTATATCCCAGTTTGGGGCTTTTTGCCCTTGCATCCGGATTTGGAACTCAAGCCAGATACAGCAGGGTCAATTTTCCTAGGGCATTGCCTACGAGTGCAAGTGTAATGGGTAGCCGAGTGGTAGGCGCGGTGAAATCAACAAGAATTACTTTTATTCTACTTCTTTCAGGTACACACCTGAGATATAATTATTAGTGAAAGAAGAAACGGCAAAATAACTGACTTTCTCTCCGGTGCACACCTGGAGGTTGAATAGCTCGTTATTATCAAAATCTCATCTTCGAGTTAGCTTTCGTTGCTATCTAATCTAATCTTCTCATTAAAACAGAAATGCGCAGCCGCTTTTATGCAGCAGACGACGTACGCTTACATACGGAGATACACTAAATATACATCAGGCAAGCTCCGTATTAGTTCCGTACTGCTTCCGTATTGGTCGGGCAGGGATACTACACCCTCCCTTCCTACAGATTATCACGCCCTCGTGATTTTCAAAAAATTAGTGAAGAGTTACGAACACAGCGTCAACCGGAAGATGGCAAATTATATCGGAAATGATAACGTTTAGAGTAGACAGAATAAATGAACTGATAACAAATCATAAAATAGAAGTAAAAGCACACCAGGTTCACACGATCTCACGGGGTCAAAAGGGAAAGAACTGTCCTCCAAATAGGACCTGAAACCACAGCACTCTTGCTGCACTACGCTGGCACAACCCGCCAGGAACATCGCAGTTCAAAAACCGAACTGAATACACTATAACTATAAGGGGCGTTGTCACACACATTGTCCCACGTTAGCTGGGTAAGCCGTGGCTCACCATGATCAGACGCCTACCAAACTAAACTGGATTCACACACTCGCATAAAGGAAGACTGAAGAGAACAGGGAGACTGAAGGAAGACAGGAAAGAAAATGCCATACCTGGAATCAGCGTTAGTAACCACGGCGGCGGCTGGAGCTACGGCGGAGAGCAAGCCAGGTTTTATCTTCATCTTGGTTGAGCCGGTCACCCAGAGCGGCTAGCTCGGCGTCAGACAAATGACCTTCCTCCTCGTCTTGAATCGTGGTCTTCACATTGTCGATAGCATCGCTTTGCGCGACGTAAAGAGTGATGGTCTAGCCAGGAATAGTGTTGACGAAAATCTGCATCCCACCACGGAGACGAAGTACCAAGTGAATAGTGGACCCCTGCTGAACGTTGTAGTAACTCAGGGTTCGGCCGTCTGCCAAATGCGTGCCGGCGAAAATCAAACGCTGCTGGTCTTGGGGAATACCCTCCTTGTCTTGGTCAGCAGCCTGCATGTCGTAGTCCTCATCAGCTTCGCTATCACCACCGGTAGTATACATGTCGTTGGCGGGTCGCTTGGAATCGCCATTGGAGTCTCCAGTGTGTGCCGTGCGAAGAGAAGGGTGATCCACGCTAGCACCCTGACTGTGCTGCAAGCTAATATTAATAAGTAGGGCCAAGCCCAGGAAAGCAAGAAACATGATTCTCAACTTGATTCGTCGCACGGAGCTGCAGCGGGTTGAGCCATGGGGTCTGGGGTCGAATCACGTTGTTTTATTTAAAACTACACCGCTGCCACCAATGTAATGGGTAGCCGAGTGGTAGGCGCGGTGAAATCAACAAGAATTACTTTTATTCTACTTCTTTCAGGTACACACCTGAGATATAATTATTAGTGAAAGAAGAAACGGCAAAATAACTGACTTTCTCTCCGGTGCACACCTGGAGGTTGAATAGCTCGTTATTATCAAAATCTCATCTTCGAGTTAGCTTTCGTTGCTATCTAATCTAATCTTCTCATTAAAACAGAAATGCGCAGCCGCTTTTATGCAGCAGACGACGTACGCTTACATACGGAGATACACTAAATATACATCAGGCAAGCTCCGTATTAGTTCCGTACTGCTTCCGTATTGGTCGGGCAGGGATACTACACAAGCGGCCGACTAGCAAACCAAAAATTTAAGCAAATCCAGCACCCACATTGAAGCCGGGCCCATTTACCCACAGGTACATTGAAAAGAACACAAGCACAGAAATGGTCCAAAATTCACTATTTCTCACCTTTCCGACTACTCACACCTGCAACTACTACAGTAACCTTCGTGAATTCCTACAACAGACACACAAAGGGTAGTGCACAAGAGAAATGACACACATAGTGTCATAAACGACCTGCCCAGGGCTGCTGAAAGCTGAAAATTACCTGTCTCCAAGTTTGTGGCTTTTTGCCCGTGCATTGGGGCTTGGAACTCAAGCCAGCTACAGCAGGGTCAAACTTCCTGGGGCACTGCCTACGAGTGCAAGCAGCCTACTAGCAAACAATAAAAATAAGCTAATCCAGCACCCACATTGAAGCTGGGCCCATTTACCCACAGGTACAAAGAAAAGAACTAATGCGCAGAAATGGTCCAAAATTCACCATTTCTCACCTTTCCGACTATTCACACCTGCCATTTCGACGTTCACCATCGCTAATTCCTACAACAGACACACAAAGGGTAGTGCACAACAGAAATGGCACAGATTGTCATAAACGACCTGCCCAGGGCTGCTGAACCCTTAAAATTGCGCATGTCCCAGTTTGTGGCTTTTTGCCTGTGCATCCGGACTTGGAACTCAAGCCAGTTACAGCAGGGTCAAATGTCCTGGGACACTGCCTACGAGTGCAAGGGGCCTACTAGCAAACCAAAAATTTAAGCAAATCCAGCACCCACATTGAAGCTGGGCCCATTTACCCATAGGTACATTGAAAGAACACAAGCGCAGAAATGGTCCAAAATTCACTATTTCAGACCTTTCCGACTATTCTCACCTGCAACTACTGTACAGGCAGAAAAATTCGTCGGTCAATAATTTCGTCCAACTCCAAAGAAAGGGAGTTCGTCCGGTTGTAAATTTCGTCCATGGATCATAAAAGTGTATTGGAAATGCTGGACAAATTGATACTAAAAGTAGAAAGGAAAAGGACATATGGAAAGGAGTAAAGAGTAACGGGGGTAACTCTCCACCACCGTAACTAGATACTACAAAAAATATACAGTGAGAAAGTGCAACAACTAGGCACAAAACTTACAGAGTAAGAGTAGAGTGGCGTGGTGACCAGGTGATTTGGGCACCCAGGAGCACGTGACCACTTTTTCAACCATGTTCGATTGAAATAAAGGAGGAACGCTGCATCGCAGCTTTTTCGGACCAAAACCAGTCGACTCAGCGTCCAAAAGACTACAACATATGGGCCAATCGCGGTCATCCGTGCTTATATAAGAACGAAATGGCGCTTTTAGTGACATTTTGCATACAAATCCCCATCTAGTAGGGCGCAGTCACCCAGTTTCGGTGGAAGTGCGCGAGTTCGATTGGGATTCAAGTAGGAAGGGAGCGTCTCAGCTTTCTCGGACCAAGACCATTCGACTCAGCACCCTGAAGACTACAACTGGTGAAATTTTAATTTTTGCCTTAACTTCCCCTTTAAAAAAGAGTCCGCAGGATTGCCGTGGCTTATAGGTTATAACCGGTTAACCGACCGTTAGCTTAGCAGTTAAAGGGGAAGTTAAGGCAAAAATTAAAATTTCACCAGTTGTAGTTGTTGTAAACCACCAGTTCTCAATTGGGAAAGGCCTTCGCGCTTATGGCATTGTATTCGTTGAAATGTTGTATTTCGACTCCGCCGTACCGCTGATGTTGCTGCATGGCATACGCTATATGCGTTGTGTGCGTTTTGCTGTATACGCTGTTATGTCCAGTTTTATATGCTTATGTTTTGCATGTACGCTGTTTTTGCATGCTATAAATAGCTGGTGTTATTAGTGTTCATTGTTAAAGGGGAAGTTAAGGCAAAAATTAAAATTTCACCAGTTGTAGTCTTCGGGGTGCTGAGTCGAATGGTCTTGGTCCGAGGAAGCTGAGACGCTCCCTTCCTACTTGAATCCCAATCGAACTCGCGCACTTCCACCGAAACTGGGTGACTGCGCCCTACTAGATGGGGATTTGTATGCAAAATGTCACTAAAAGCGCCATTTCGTTCTTATAAAAGCACGGATGACCGCAATTGGCCCATATGTTGTAGTCTTTGGGACGCTGAGTCAACTGGTTTTGGTCCGAAAAGGCTGCGATGCAGCGTTCCTCCTTTATTCCCAATCCAACATGGTTGAAGAAGCGGTCACGTGGTCCTGGGTGCCCAAATCACCTGGTCACCACGCCAGCAGGTGACAACTTTCACACCAAGGTTCAACTCGGGTTCAACTCGAGTGACAGGACTGCACCCAAAAAAGGTCAAACAGGCTAGTAAGTTGTACCCTGCAGGCACGGTGACCAGGTGACTGGCGTACGCAGGAGCACGTGACCGCTTGTTCAACCATGTTCGATTGGGAATAAAGGAGGAACGCTGCATCGCAGCCTTTTCGGACCAAAACCAGTCGACTCAGCGTCCAAAAGACTACAACATATGGGCCGATCGCGGTCATCCGTGCTTTTATAAGAACGAAATGGCGCTTTTAGTGACATTTTGCATACAAATCCCCATCTAGTAGGGCGCAGTCACCCAGTTTCGGTGGAAGTGCGCGAGTTCGATTGGGATTCAAGTAGGAAGGGAGCGTCTCAGCTTCCTCGGACCACGACCATTCGACTCAGCACCCCGAAGACTACAACTGGTGAAATTTTAATTTTTGCCTTAACTTCCCCTTTAAAGGGGAAGTTAAGGCAAAAATTAAAATTTCACCAGTTGTAGTCTTCGGGGTGCTGAGTCGAATGGTCTTGGTCCGAGAAAGCTGAGACGCTTCCTTCCTACTTGAATCCCATATCGAACTCGCGCACTTCCACCGAAACTGGGTGACTGCGCCCTACTAGATGGGGATTTGTATGCAAAATGTCACTAAAAGCGCCATTTCGTTCTTATAAAAGCACGGATGACCGCGATCGGCCCATATGTTGTAGTCTTTTGGACGCTGAGTCGACTGGTTTTGGTCCGAAAAGGCTGCGATGCAGCGTTCCTCCTTTATTCCCAATCGAACATGGTTGAAGAAGCGGTCACGTGCTCCTGGGTGCCCAAATCACTTGGTCACCACGCAGTCCGTGCGCCAAGGGGTACTCAAGGGCTGATTTTATTTGCAACCGCGGGAAACGAAGTCACCAAGACGCCTTCATTTGAGGCTTTTGGAATTGGAGAATTTATTGAATTTAGGTATGGCTCTCGTCCCTTCTAGAGAACTAACCAAGACCCTGTGGGGGCAGAAGGAGACTTCTTTGGCTCCGTGAATACACTAGCTATGCGGTGGTCTAGTTTGTTTGAGTGTGTGGTTCGTATTCAAAGTGTTCCAAGCCGCAGTTCACTCGAAGGTCATCGTGGATACGTCTGCACTTGAAAATCAAGGCTGGAAAGGACTGCCTGGTGTGTCCGAACGGTATGTTTTGCACTGAAGGCATTTTTTGTATGAATTGTTGAAAGTGTCTACTTGTTCGAAATGCAAAAGAGATGGTCGTAGATCCTTGGCCCACAACACCCCACTAAATAAACTATGACCTGTCGTGAAATTATGTGAAATTGATCAACACAATCATCCACAAAATATCCTATGCCAAAGTACTCCAAATGCAAATAATGGCATCCCTTTACCTAGGTCATGTTTGTAGGGCCTTATGCCACATCTTTGCATGATTTCCTCATGCAAATCGTGTGCCTAGCTTCGAAAACACATTGCGCTAAGTGCCGAATATATACCTGTGAATCAGAACAACAGCACTCACTATTGCTTTCATGAGTGGTAATGGTCAACTGAAAGGAAACTTCTATCCATCAACTCATATTGAGTAAAGTAATGACTAATCTCCTTGCTGCGCATGTGGTTCCTTCGTATTTACATGTACCGTAAAGTACCGCCAGAGCGCCCCACCATCTCGTCCTTTCGGGGTCGTATTGTGGGGGTGGTCTCCTGCCTGTAGGTTATACGACACGAACTTTGTACACATATTGCACGTTCTGCAGACAATCTGTGCCTTCGAGCGGACACTAGCTCCACACAAAAACCTGCTTAGTGTGACTTTAGTACACCAAGTTGCTCACACCGTACGAACTTCGTTGCACTCTGCCATACGATTTTCCTTTCCCTGGCTGTATTATATAAATCTGTCGCAGCAAAATCAAGGTGGGGCGCTCTTGCGGTACTTTGCGGTATGTGCGCCTCTCTGTGTTCGGTGAATTATTTTCAATATTTGCGCACGACTTCAGGATAGTGCACATTTTATGCATGTACCTGCATATGTAATCCTTCCATGATTTAAAAATTAGGAGCCGTGCTTCTCA